TATAATAAAAAAATTTTTTCACTTTTTTTTTTTTTTTTAACTGAAGAGGAAACAGGTTTCCATACAAATCATCTTAATGGGAACTTAATTAACCCCGATTTCAATTGAACTGAATTCTGGCATCTTGTTTGACCTTTCTAACAAGAAAAAGAGTATCTTGGTTTTCGTGACTGTAGTATTTATCTGATCAGTGGTTTTAGTTAAAGGGGTCATATGATGTTGCAAAAAAAACATTATTTTGTGTATTTGGTGTAATGAAATTTGTTTATGCGGTTTAAGCTTGCGGCAACCACATGTGACGACCCCGGGCTGGACTCCGCTTCGTCCATGGTGAAAGCCGATGGTGATCCACAGCGTGAAGTTGATGTATTTCCTCAGCGACCATCACAGATCAGCTCTAGGCATGACGAAGTGGATATTGTCCTCTTTTGGAAGGCCAAACAAAATAGTTTCGCTTTCACAACGAAACACACTGTGTCTTCACGACATGGCGGCAGCAACAATACTACAGCCAGAATAAAAGTTATGCCTTCTTTCTTTGCGTGAACATTTGGGCGGCGTTATGCAAATCTTCCCACATCCTGATGTAGACATGTGGGGGCGTGTTAGAATGAGTCGTTTTAGGTAGGCGTGGTTGACTCTTGACTTTAATAAAGAATATCTCTTTGGATTTGAGGACTTTAGTCTTTGCAACTTTACAGATCTTCTTTATGCACCAAGAGCTTGTAACACTTGAAAGAGAAAGGAAAAATTGAAATCGCATCATATGACCCCTTTAAAGTGATGTTGTGCAATCAAGCAAAGGAACAAGGGTAGATTAGAAATAAACGCGCTCGATGATGTTATAAGACCTATCATTCTGATCAGGTATTTGATGCGATGATGGTGAATTGTTTTTCTGAAACTTCTCTATTTGTAATTTTCCATGATTCATTCAACACTTTAATTGGAACATTAAAGTAAGACTGAACGGTACCAACCATAACATAAATTTCACAAAAGATTTTCACAATTTGCGTTGATCGTGTCAGAATATTACATGTCACGAAGATAAAGGTTATGTGTCAACTCCTCTGGCTATTACAGATATCATAATTATAATGTGCTTAGTGATAAAGTGTGTTAGACAAAAGGACTCCGATTATTGAATGAATGCCGGAAGCCTGATAGCAACTGATTTTCGCTTAGGAAAAAAGGGCTGTAATGTGTCGAGTGCGGACGTGGCGCCGTGGCTTAGTTGGTTAAAGCGCCTGTCTAGTAAACAGGAGATCCTGGGTTCGAATCCCAGCGGTGCCTTTTAAATGCATTTCATTAAACCTTTACTTTTACACTGAACTAATAATAACGATTACTCATTATTCGTTTTATTCAAGGAAATTATCTCTCAGGTTTTGTCATTTTAATGCCAGATTCTGGTTAGGCACGTACATGGCTTCAAAAAAGGGATAATCCAAATCTACCGTATGTTTAAAATGTACCATAGGCTATTTAAAGGCCTGCCTGCAAAATTCAAAGAGTCAAACAATTATTAAACACGAAACAATTAATAAAATAGCAAGAAAGGTAACATACCAAAATATTT